GCATTTTGGATTTAAGCCCATTAATCCAAAATTTGTGGATTTGAAAATTTGGACCAATTGCTTGCCAATTGGATTTTTCCATTAGAATTCTATATGAGAGCCCAAGTCCATTGGAAAAAACGAGTCATTTTATAGTGAGAGCCTTATATATAGCCCTTAGATGAGACCTTATTTCTTAATTGTTGGATCAAATTTGTTGGCATAATCCAACAGTTAAGAAATATGACCTTATCTAAGGGTCATATATAAGGCTCTCACTATAAAATGACTCGTTTTTTCCAATGGACTTGGGCTCTTCAGTGAATTATTTGCACCCAATTGTTTGCCAATTGAAATTTCTTCCCTTGATGGGGTTTCTTTTCTTTACTTCCGGAGGTCCATTGGTCACCATGACTCAGTCCAAAATGTTTACTTTGGCATAGACTGTATTTATTTCCTCCTCCATTGATTTCCCGACACCATGAGTTTTTTCTTGGACATAGAAGTTAGTGCAACAAGCCTTTAGTCCAACATCCAATTAATTCTTGGAGTTTCTACTTTTTTCTTTCCGGCGGCAATTATCTCATTTTTGTGCTTGGGCAGCATAGTGGTTCTGGAAATTGCCTAATGAATTATTGGCTTCGTTAAGTTATTCGTTGTTGCTAGTGTTTTTTGTTTGGACCCACATCTTGCAGTGCATGTGCATGTGACGAAGTTAGGCTCTACAGTTTCAGTGCCAAAATAGGGAGGATAAAACAAACAGCTTCTTTTATGTCTTGGGTCCTCATGAAGCTTTGTCTTGCGCATCAAGGAACGGACCAGATTTGGGAAATTTAGGATAAAACAAACAGTACCGTAAGGTACCCTTTTTATGATGGCACAAGTCCACTGCAAATGGATTGAGAAATTTGTTTCGATGCTCAAGAGCGTCAACTTTTGTTGTGATGACGTGGAATCATCAATTTGGCTCAAGAACCTGGTGGAGGGAGATGGAAGGGAACCGCCATCTACCTTGCTTTTTGCAATTCTTCACGAGTTCTCTCCTTGCCTTGGAATTTTGCTCTCCTAGTTTTAGTTTCTAGTAAAAAATTAATTTCCTTTCCTGCAAAGGATAAGTGATTGATTTCTACTCAAGTGAAGTAATTTTGTCCCAGGTTGACACTGCTTCTTGGACCTCCTGCATCCGGAAAAACAACACTTCTAAAAGCACTTGCTGGAAAGCTTGATAAGGATCTAAGGGTTTGCCATCCTCTCTATCTCCTTACCTTTTATTGGTTTATTTTTATTGCATTAGTGCACCTGCTTGTTTAGTACTTCATACGTATTTAACAAGATGGGGTTATAAACAGGTAACTGGGAAAGTGACCTACTGCGGCCATGAATTTAAGGAATTTGTGCCTCAGAGAACCTCTGCTTATATTAGCCAGCATGATATTCAATATGGTGAGATGACAGTTCGTGAAACGTTGGATTTCTCCGGACGTTGCCTGGGAGTTGGAACCAGGTATGATATGCTGGTAGAGTTGTCTAGAAGGGAGAAAGATTCAGGTATCAAACCAGACACTGAAATCGATGCATTCATGAAAGCCACATCTATGTCAGGCCAGGAAACTAGTTTGATCACAGATTATGTTCTCAAGGTTGGTTGATTATCATAAGATTGTGTGCTTGCTCCCCTATTGTACAAAGCCTAACAATTTTTTGTTCTTCTAACAGTTACTTGGTTTAGAGATCTGTGCTGATACAAGTGTGGGTGATGGTATGAGAAGGGGCATATCTGGTGGACAAAAGAAACGTGTAACCACTGGTATGAGACTTTACGCCATATTACATAACTAAAAGAAAACTGGGTTTCCATCATGGTTATGCTTTCATATGTGTTTCGAAGTGTGAGTGGTGGAACTCTGCATGAATGTATGTTCAAATAGGAATGATTATTGATGTGCAAACATTCTCTGCAATGATTTAACTGGTGGTGTTTGGTCTGAATGCAGGAGAAATGTTGGTTGGACCAGCGAAAGCTTTTTTCATGGATGAAATCTCAACGGGGCTGGACAGTTCCACAACCTTTCAAATTGTCAAGTTCATGAGGCAGATGGTTCATATTATGGATGTGTCAATGGTCATCTCTCTCTTGCAGCCAGCACCTGAGACGTATGATCTTTTTGATGACATTATCCTTCTTTCTGAGGGTCAGATTGTCTACCAAGGTCCTCGTGAGAATATGCTTGAATTCTTTGAATATGTGGGGTTCAGATGCCCCGAAAGAAAAGGTGTTGCAGATTTCTTGCAAGAAGTGACCTCAAAGAAGGACCAAGAACAATACTGGTATAACAAGAACCAAGAATACAGATATGTCTCAGTGCCCGACTTTGTACAGGCTTTCAGCTCTTTTCACGTTGGCCAACGACTTTTGGAAGACCTAAGGGTTCCATATGACAAAAGAACAGCCCATCCTGCTGCCTTGGTGAAGGATAAGTATGGCATATCCAATATGGAGCTCTTCAAGGCATGCTTTGCAAGGGAATGGCTTCTGATGAAGCGTAACTCTTTTGTATACATATTCAAAACTGCACAGATAACAATCATGGCTACAATTGCTTTGACAGTGTTCTTAAGAACAGAAATGCAAGCTGGGACGGTACAAGATTCAGCAAAATTCTGGGGAGCACTGTTTTTCAGTCTCATTAACGTCATGTTTAATGGAATGGCAGAGCTTGCAATGACAGTTTTCAGGCTTCCTGTGTTCTTTAAACAAAGGGATGCCTTGTTCTACCCTGGCTGGGCTTTTGCCTTGCCGATTTGGCTAACCAGAATTCCCATTTCAGTGATGGATTCTGGGATATGGATCATTTTGACTTACTACACCATTGGATTTGCACCTGCTGCCAGTAGGTAAGCTTTGATTTGTCCAAAATATTATTGTTGGAAGCTTCTTCTTTGTGTTGCTACATATGAGTGATGAAATATAAAAAAATCTAGTAATTCTTTCATCTGACGTATGTGCAATATGCTCAGGTTCTTCAAACAGCTCTTGGCTTTCTTCAGTGTACATCAGATGGCACTATCCCTTTTCCGTTTCATTGCTGCCCTTGGACGAACAGAGGTTGTTGCAAACACTATTGGTTCCCTTACATTGCTAATTGTGTTTGTCCTTGGAGGTTTTGTTGTTGCTAAAGGTATGGAGTCTTTTGCCTTCATTGCCAACGCAGGCACATATATCAGTTTGATACTAGTATTGTTATCATGTTTCAATCAATACAATGACAGAGTTTTGGATTTTTTTCATTTGATTTGACATTCACAAGATTCTGCTTTTGGTTTGCAGACGACATTGTTCCATGGATGATATGGGGCTACTATGTTTCACCTATGATGTATGGACAAAATGCAATTGCCATCAACGAATTTCTTGATGAAAGATGGAGCGCTGTAAGTTGTCCTAAATCTCAATTGAATTCTACTTATACATTAATATCAACTTTGAGCTTAACAAAATTTGTTATTCCTTTGTACAGCCTGTCAATAACTCCATTGAGCCTACAGTTGGAAAGATCCTTCTCAGGGGAAGAGGCTTGTTTACTGAAGAATATTGGTATTGGATTTGTGTTGCAGCGCTTTTCGGGTTCTCTCTGCTTTTTAATGTTCTTTTCATTGCAGCATTGACCTTCCTGAATCGTAAGTGAATAATTTTCATTATGTACCACTCATCAGGTACTACTAATTTTATGGACTTAAGTACTGATTTTTTGCTCTCTTTTTATCTAAATTTTAGCTCTTGGTGATACTAAAACTCTAATTGAGAATGATGACTCCGAAAGTAATAGGAAGCGACCACCCATTCCAGAAGGTATAATGTTATATTCTTGTGGGTCTTAACTTGCATATATTCTTGCTGTAAAACAATGTATAAGCTAGATAAGCACTATCAACCCATGTCCACGCTGCAAACCCCCTATTCACCACATGCACCGTTCTTCATGTATGTCATCATGGGTTTGTACCAAATCTACTGCATAAAACGTGCATCTTATTTAGTGCCTTTGCTATCAAATTATTTCCCTTTTCTAATAAATATTGAGCAATGTCAGGTAGTGATATGCAAGTGAGAAATGCTGCAAACAATCAAGCCAGAAAAGGAATGGTTTTGCCCTTCCAGCCCCTTTCCCTTGCTTTCAACCATGTGAACTATTATGTGGATATGCCTGCTGTAAGTAATGTTTTAATTATATTTTCTTTGAGGTTTTAATTTCAAGAAATCTAATGAGAAGTTATATCTTTAAAAAAAAATGAATAGAAATGAAAATGAAAGTTTCTGCTCATTTTTTTAAGAAAAAACAGAAGACGAAAGCATCTTATTTTAATGCATTTTTCAAAAGTCATTTGAAGTTAGATTGTCATTAGCTATGAATTGATTGTTATGGTCTCGAAACTATGAGCACGATATATCATGCCAAACACGTCATGGGTCTAATATGATTCTCCGAACCTTTATTAATATGATTCTCCTTGGTAACATTTTTTTCGGGTTCCTTACCAGGAAATGAAGAGCCAAGGGATTGAAGAGAACCGATTGCAGCTTCTACGAGATGTTAGTGGTGCATTTAGGCCGGGTGTTCTGACTGCATTAGTTGGTGTCAGTGGTGCTGGAAAGACCACCTTGATGGATGTCTTAGCTGGAAGAAAGACTAGTGGGTACATTGAAGGAAGTATTACCATCTCTGGTTTCCCAAAGAACCAAGTTACATTTGCTCGGGTCAGCGGTTACTGTGAACAGAATGACATTCATTCACCATATGTTACTGTTTATGAATCTCTCATATACTCTGCCTGGTTACGTCTTGCCAAGGATGTCAAGAAGGATACACGGAAGGCATGTTTATTTATTTAATCACTTTAATTTTAGCAGTTATCCCATTTTAATTTCTTATTGTATGCATTTTATCTCTCTACAACCATCTCATTCGTTCACGTATAAAGAAGTCATGTTAATTAATTTATGTTTTCATTCTTTTCTTTAGATGTTTGTTGATGAGGTTATGGATTTGGTCGAGCTTAATCCATTGAGGAATGCTTTAGTTGGAGTTGCGGGAGTTGATGGACTTTCAACTGAGCAGAGAAAGAGGCTCACTATTGCTGTAGAATTGGTTGCGAATCCGTCCATCATCTTTATGGATGAGCCGACATCAGGTCTTGATGCTAGAGCAGCCGCAATTGTTATGCGTACTGTAAGAAACACTGTAGATACAGGACGAACTGTTGTATGCACAATTCACCAACCTAGCATCGACATTTTTGAAGCTTTTGATGAGGTATTATTTGATTTTAATTCTGTTAATCTGTAGCACTGTTTATTATTTCATGTGCCATATTTCACGTTGATTTTGTTTTCTATTGCAGCTTTTCTTAATGAAAAGAGGAGGTCAGGTGATTTATGCTGGACCTCTAGGTCGCCAGTCTCACAAACTCGTAGAATATTTTGAGGTATGTTTTTGCTGTACCTTTTATGTTAAATCTCCTTCCAATGATCCAAACTGTAACATCTGCTTCAGTAAGAATATTTTCGAACATGATTTCATGTAATTCAATATACATTTCACTCCAATATATTTCTGTCTGAGCAATGAATGGTTTGTTTTCATTACAACTTTCTCGAAGCATGAACGATTTATTAAGAATCAAATTCTCTGTTTCAGTGAAACATCAAAACCTCTTTTTTATACACCAATGGTTTCTGTAGTTAAAAAGTTTGACTAATATCCAAAACATGTTGCAGGCTATTCCAGGGGTTAGCAAAATCAAAGAAGGTTACAATCCTGCTACCTGGATGTTAGAGGTCAGCTCTTCTGCCGTGGAGGTTCGACTTGAAACTGATTTCGCAGAAGTATATGCGAACTCGGAACTCTATAGGTTAGTGGCATATAAATTTGTTTTCTTTTCATTTCTATTATTGCCAACTGCTTGTCCGTGTGTATTAAAATTGTCTTCATATTTGTTTTCACTTGTTCAGGAGAAACCAGGAACTTATCAATGAACTAAGCACACCACTACCAGGTTCCAAGGACCTCTACTTCCCCACCCGATACTCCCAAAGCTTTGGAACTCAGTGTAAGGCTTGCTTCTGGAAGCAACACTGGTCATACTGGAGGAACTCACGGTACAATGCCATTAGGTTTTTCATGACAATTTGCATTGGAGTATTATTTGGTGTTATCTTCTGGAGCAAAGGAGACCAGATGTAAGTTTAAGAAGTTTATTATGAGCTATCCTTCGTACATATTATTCTTTGGATTTTGTGATTCAGTTGCATGTTTTCTCCAATCATTTGTTTTTGTGAAAGGTTCTTTGCTGTGTTTAACAGTATATTATCTTGTGAACAGACACAAACAACAAGACCTGATTAATCTTTTGGGAGCTACCTATTCGGCTATTCTTTTCCTTGGATCTAGCAATGCTTTTTCTGTGCAATCTGTGGTTGCGGTTGAACGAACAGTTTTCTACCGTGAAAGAGCAGCGGGAATGTATTCAGAGTTGCCTTATGCATTTGCTCAGGTAAGATATTGGAAGAAGTTTGCTAGTTTACATCTTTTAGTTTTCATATAACATTAAAATCTCATATCTTTGTTATTGATACATATATTGGTGTTGTAGGTGTCTGTTGAGACAATTTACGTTGCAATCCAAACCTTTGTCTATTCCTGTCTTCTATTTTTCATGATCGGGTATAATTTTAAGGTGGAGAAGTTTTTGTACTTCTACTACTTCATCTTCATGTCCTTTACCTACTTCTCAATGTATGGGATGATGGCGGTTGCCCTAACTCCTGGGCATCAAATTGCTGCCATTGTTATGTCTTTCTTCATGAGCTTCTGGAACTTGTTCTCTGGTTTCCTCATCCCACGACCGGTATGTCATGAATTTAACGCAGTTCCTCTTCTTATGGTCATGCCTGAGCATGTTGAACAGACGGTTTCTAAGGAAAAACGTCCAACACATTTACATTAGAAACACAATGTTCAAGCATTACAAATGAAATTTTCTGATACCGGATTTATCTTGTTCCGAACTATCTCTTGTATCGTTGTAACCATAACATTTTAATCTCCATGTTGCAGCTAATTCCCATCTGGTGGAGGTGGTACTACTGGGGTTCTCCAGTTGCTTGGACAATCTATGGCGTCTTCACATCTCAAGTTGGTGACGTCAAGACCTTTATTGATATTCCTAGTCAAGAACCACAGAGAGTGGATCTGTTCATTAAGGACTATTTGGGTTATGACTATGACTTCCTAATACCTGTGGTTGTTGCTCATGTTGGTTGGGTCCTCCTCTTCTTCTTCGTCTTCGCCTACGGCATCAAGTTCCTTAACTTTCAAAGGAGATAAGCAACTTCACTCTGTACCAGTGAGATGAACCCTTCAGAAATGTGAGATAGAGAAAACAAAAGTACACAAGGCAGGTATTGACTAAGGAAATTTAAACACATCACAAAGTCTCCAAGCATTTTCCTGTTACTTTTTAATGGGAATTTTCTTCATAACTGTTTCCAACATCTGCTCCTCAGTATGAATCTTTACTCTAAATTATGTTATTTCTCTCAAGCCAGCAGCATTTATATAACCTTTTTACCTTTTTACCCTTCACATTGTCATAGAAGTTGAGACTGACACTTCTCCACCTGTGTCTTGAAGCTACACTTCTGCAGTAGAGCGACTGACTGTTAATTGACTGGTTGTAGGTTCAAATTCTACTTGGAGAGATTTGATTCATTCCGAATTAAGGATTTGCTTGACCGTTAAAAGTAGATAACACGTTCCCTGCGTCTTTGTTGCTATTGCATTCTATCTCATCGTATCATATTTTGTTCTGCAATACTTGAGAATCACTGTTAATTCTAAATCTTTGGTAAAACTACATTCAGAAAACAAGTGATGAAACTCCACTCTGTCCCTTCCCATTTTATAACCCCCCCATCTTCTCGTTTTCTATTCTAACTTTCACTACGTGTGTGTATGATCCGTCCATTTATAAAAATAAAAAAAATGAAAACCATTTCTTTCTCACATGGAAGCACATCAACTTTTACCCACGACTTTTCAACATCTCTTACATACTTTTCAACGCGCTTTCTAGAATTTGGAATTATCAAACCATATTCAGCTCCTCATCTCACGAAGTAAATAAATGAAAATGACAAACGTTCGAAGAAATTGAATGCAGTGTCATTTATCATAGGCTTAATTATGTATATGCCCCCTGTGCTTTCCAACTTATCTCAGATTACCACCCGTGGTGGAAAACGTCTCAAAGTACCCCCCAACGTGCAAAAAACTGTCTCACGTTACCCTTTCCGTCAGTTTTTTTGAAGTTCCGTTACGAATGTTACTGTTCATCTCCCCCAAAATTCCAGAACAGCAGCTCCTCCCATTTGTTACTGTTCATCGCACCAGTTTTTGGGCTGCCATCGCCTCCTCCGGCCACCCCAAGCGACGACATGGATATCAAAAGAACCAGCACGTTGTCCTCTACCACCCTCACATCTCAGCCGCTGCCAACCGTCGTCTGGATCACCGAAAAAAAGCAAGAAATTGGTCGGTTTTTACCCAAAATCTCCATTGCTCGTTCGGGCGATTCCGAGCACCATTTTCTTCGATCCAGGTATGATTTTTCAACCTCTCGAGTTGTTCTTGCTGCTAGTTGTGTTGGTTAGGAGAAATTTCTGAGTTTTGGAGGGTAAATAAGCGATGAACAGTAACAAAGGGGAGGGGCTACTGTTCTGGAATTTTGGGGGAGATGAACAGTAACATTCGTAACGGAACTTCAAAAAAACTGACGGAAAGGGTAACGTGAGACAGTTTTTTGCACGTTGGGGGGTACTTTGAGACGTTTTCCACCACAGGTGGTAATCTGAGATAAGTTGGAAAGCACAGGGGGCATGTACATAATTAAGCCTTTATCATAAGAAGCTTAGCAAGAAGTTTATCCACCACGATCTTTGTCCTTTTGCTTACAATCAACACCCTAAGACATTCGATGTGCTCTCAAATTGTCCTGAGTTGAAGTCCCATGATAACTGTGCCATGTAGGCTAAATAATAAAACCACGTGTTTTGTTTAGTCAATAATTTGGCCCGGGTATTCAAATAAAGAAAGTCAAATATTATCAAAAATATTTTTTAAACTAAAGTATTATATTCTGCTCCCTTGACAGTTGGAATCAAGAATATTATAATACAGTTGTCTTATTTCTCTCACAGAAGTGAAGCATGGGAATAAGGACCATGTAAAACATGATGACCATCGTTTTCTTATGAATAATCCAAAGAGTATTTGATCAATTTAGACGAACCAACTGACTCTTTTCCTGATTGGTTCAAAGTACGAATTCCCTCCCCAAAATCTTTTGCGGGGAGGCTAGTTTTGAGAATCTCCTTGGTTTTTCAGATATAGACTAAAATTTTATAGTAATTCCCATATTGAACGGAAAAGTTCAAACTTCTCTAGAAGATTTGTTGTGGTTGAATTAAATTTAAAAAAAAAAGTCAGATGGGAATTTTATAGTAATTCCCATATTTAAATTTCAAATTTGATTAGTCACTAAATAACCCCTCCCCTAAGATATGCAACTATTCATAGAATATGAATATCCAATTTAAAATTAGTTAACAATAGATGAAGAGAATTAAGATCTTTTAAGTATTTAAGGTTAATCTTTTCGTTCTATGTGGGCGCCACATTGCCGATGATATGATTTAATAGTGGAACTATATACCTCCAAAGGCACTCATGTGTGACATGGGTTCTAGTCTAATAAAATAATTAATTTGTAATCCCTAACAGCTATTCACTTTACTCATTAGGCATCAATTCTTTGAGTCTTCAATACGAGCAACACTTGTATGAAACGGGCATGACACTGTTTTGTTATTTTTATCCATTCATAGTATATGAGGTGGTGTTTGATGAAATGTCTCACATCACAGATTAACTAAAACAATAGATAGTGAGAAGATATGCGGGTAGATTTTTTTAAGATCCTTTTCATCTCGCTCATAAGAAGAAAACCTTAACTTTCAATATTGACGTTCAAACAATCTTATTGTGCCGTACAAATAGTTTTTTAAAATTTTATATACAAGTAGTATTGGAGGAAAGGAGAATCAAATCTGGAACTCGGATAAATGATCCTAACCACTAGAATTACAAACCCCTTACTGTAATAGTTGTATTTTATTCTTACAATTTTGAAATTAGTTAATACCATGTTGTCAATCACATTACGGAAGCTTTTTAATAAAGGTCATGACTATTGTGACAGTTGAATTACGCACATAAGAATAAGACCATCTAGAAAAGTTCAGCTCCTGCGAACGTCAAGGGATTTTCGAAAATTCTTAAGCCATCATAAATCGCTTTTTTTCCAAATGAAAATATCTTCTATCAAGAATTTTAATAGAAAGAACGCCTCCACGGCAGCGGCAAAGATATTATTTTCACACGTAAAAATATGTTCAAGAAACAACGCGAGAAAGTCCCATTTGGTTGGTTTTTTTATTTATAAATATTTTGCTGACAATTCCCACCAGAGTTAGACGAAGTAGATATTTTTCTCGCTTTTTTTATATCTTAAAAAAGTTTAGAGACTTTTCTTCCTCATGTGTCTATAAATTCTCACCCAAAGCTCCTCACAAATGTAGTTTCTTCCTTGCATGTTCTCATTCTTCACCAGACAACAATGATCTCTGTGTGAAGAATTTTGAGAAGACAAAAGAAAAGCATACTCTAGGAGTATATTTGATCATCAATTCTTTCAATCACTTCCCAAACAATTGGGTTGTACTTTTCCAACCCATCATCTGAAATTTTGAGTTGAGAGTAATTATTTGATTGGTTTCGGGCCATCAAAATGGCGGCTTCTTTGGTGGGAGATGACTTAGCTAGGCAGACTAGCAGCCGGAGGAGCTGGCGTTCTTCCAGTGTTAGAGAAATGTGGAACACACAGGATGTGTTCCGGCAGAGCAGCAGGCAGCAGACGGTGAATGAGGAGGAGGAGCTGAAGTGGGCCGCCATAGAGCGGTTGCCAACGTATGATAGGATGAAAAGGGGGATGCTTAGACAATATATGAGCAATGGGAGGGTTGTAGCTGAAGAAGTTGATGTTGCACACCTTGGAGATCATGACAAGAAACAGTTGATGGAGAGCATACTTAAGGTTGTTGAGGATGACAATGAGAGGTTCTTGAAGAGGCTCAGGGCCAGAAATGACAGGTTTGTATTGTCTCCCTTTCTGGTATGTATACTTTGTTTGGTTGATGAGAAAGCAGGAGGAAAACAAAAGTGTTGGACTTTGAAAGTTCAGGTTGTCTTTGGCTTCACAAAACATACAATTGAAAGATGTATTTTTGCTTAGTTTGCTTGCTAAACATGTTTGATTTGGATTACCTTGTAAATTTTTTTTTTCTTGGGAGACAGGGTTGGTATTGACATTCCAAAGGTTGAGGTTAGATACCAGAATATATCAATAGAGGGAGATGCATATGTTGGCACCAGAGCACTTCCAACTCTGCTAAATTCCACCTTGAACCAACTAGAGGTATTGTTTCAACATTTTTTCAATACCGAACCTTATTTCTTGATCTAGCGTTCCGCTAGTGAATTCCTAGATTTCTAAATTTCTATACATGTGAATAGGGACTGATTGGATTGATTGGACTCTCACCCTCAAAGAAAAGAGTTGTCAAGATACTTCATGATGTGAGCGGTATTGTTAAACCGTCAAGGTATACTCATGTTTCTTTGAAAAGAAGATGGAAACTATTTTATTGGTATGCTACTCATGTGAAGTAGGCTTGTTTCTGAACTCCAACCGTGATATTGCTTGTTTTGTCTGCTTTTCAGGATGACACTGCTTCTTGGACCTCCATCGTCAGGAAAAACAACACTGCTAAAAGCACTTGCTGGCAAACTGGATAGGGATATAAGGGTTTGCCATCCTCTCTGTCTCTTTACCAGTTATCAGTATTAGTGTGCATACATGTGTAGGGACTTTTCATATGTATTGACAAGTTGGGGTTATAAACAGGTAACTGGGAAAGTGACTTACTGTGGTCATGAATTCAACGAATTTGTGCCTCAGAGAACCTCTGCTTATATTAGCCAGCATGATCTTCATTATGGTGAGATGACAGTTCGTGAAACGTTGGATTTCTCTGGACGTTGCCTGGGAGTTGGAACAAGGTATGATATGCTAGTAGAGATGTCTAGACGAGAGAAAGATTCAGGTGTCAAACCAGATCCCGAAATCGATGCATTCATGAAAGCCACATCTATGTCGGGCAAAGAAACCAGTTTGATCACAGATTATGTTCTTAAGGTTTGTTGATCCA